CTCATCCTGACCTTGCGTACCCTCTTGGCCTTCTGGCTCGCTACGTGGCTCCTGGTCGGCACCGAAAGGTGCAGATGGATGCTGCCAAGAGGGTACTACGCTACTTGTGCAGTACATCGGGCATGGGGCTCGTGCTTGGAGGACGGGGTGACGTTGTCCTCATAGGTCAGTCAGACGCCTCTTGGGTTGACGACCAGGCTACGCAGCGGTCGTCACAGGGTTACACCTTCAGCCTTGGTTCTGGTTCAGTTTCCTGGCGTTCTACACGTTCGTCTTCAGTTCTCGGCTCCAGCTGTGAGGCAGAGATCTACGCCACAGCCATGGCTGCACAGGAGCTGCGCTGGCTCACCTACCTGCTGACCGACTTGGGAGAGCGGCCTCGTTCTCCTCCAGTTCTGTACGTCGACAACAAGGCCGCCATTGCCTTGTGTCAGGAGCACAGACTGGAGCACAGAACAAAGCACATCGCTCTCCGTTACTTTCTTGCTAGAGAGCTGGAGCAGCGTGGCCAGCTTCGTCTTACCTACGTGGCCACTCGGGCCAACACTGCTGATATATTCACCAAGGCACTTCCGCCTGGTGATCATCAGCGTTTCTGCACTTTGTTAGGCCTTGTGCCCACGCTTCCTCACTTGCTGTAGGCTTTGTTTGTACCATGATTTATATGTGTCAGAATGTTATGTTTTGTCTAGCCTGCAGTGGGGTACTCAATAGTGAGTACAGCCCAATTTAGGGTTTGCTATATGTACTCAACTGCTTGCTAGTGAAACCTCTCTCTTTCTTCTTTCTAAACTTCCTTTGCTTTCTAACATGGAATCAGAGCAGGTCAACCCTCACGGGTCGATCCTGTGGATGGCCCCACCAATGCTTCCGCTGCTGCTGTCCTGCCTATCGCGCGCCTCGGGCGCGCGCTATCTTTTTGCCTGCCGCGCACCCATGGCGCGCGGCCTTCTTTCTTCCCGCCGCGCGCTAGGGGCGCCTGGCGGTTTGCTGCCCGTCGCGGCCCTTCGTGGCCCCTTCGTGGCCCCTTCGCGACCCCGTAGCGGCCCCGTCGCGGCCTCGCCCCGGCCCTGCCCCGTCGCCCGTCGCGGCCTCGCCCCCGTCCCTGCCCCGTCGCCTGTCGCGGCGCCCTACTCTGCCCGTCGTGCGCCCCGAGGCGCGCGGCGGTGCCCTGCCCGTCGCGCGCCCCGGGGCGCACGGCGGTTTCGTCGCCCGGGGGGCTCGTGCGCGGCCCCCTCGTCGCCCGTCGCGGCGCCAACGGGGGCCCGCGCGGCCCCCATTCCCGTCGCCCGTCGCGGCGCCCTGGGGGGGGCCGCAGAAAGGGGGCCGCGCATCGGCCCCTCCCGTCTTCGTCGCGGCCCTACCCGGCCCTACCCGGCCCTGCCCAGCCCTGCCGTCCTGCCCCGGCCCTGTCCCGGCCCTGCCCTGCCCGGCCTTGCCCTGTGTTAGGGTTTGGGGGTGGCGAGTGGGGGGTGGCGGGTGTGTGGCATCACCTGCTCCTCCTCCTACTTCGTCTCCCACTGCTGCAGCTGCCGCTGAGGGGGGTGGGTGTGTGGGAGTCGACGGAGTGGTGCTAGGGGGTGGAGTGTGAGTGAACCTAGGGGTGCAGCAGGGGGTGTGTGAAAAGGGGGGTGAGACAGTTAGAGGGAGGTTGGGCGGAGGCAGCAGTCGTGTCGCCTGCAGCGCCAGTAGTCCGGAGGCTACAATCTCCGGTAGCCCAGCGAGCCTGCTGCGCCAGTCGCCCGTGGGTCCGTTGCTCCTACTGCTCAGAGTTAGTCGCGGAGCCAGTTACTCCAGTAGTCCGGAGGCTACAATCTCCGGTAGCCACAGTTCGCGCCGCTCCTGTTGCCCGTGTGTCTGCAGCTTCACCTGTCGTCTCCTATCTCTTCTCCTCTCACAGTCCCTCCTCCTCCTCACTTACCGTCTGTGACTGCCTCTAGCTTTGCTTATATTTGTGAACTATAAACTGTTGCTTCTTGTACTTGTGCTCAGAATGTGTGGTGACTTTGTGATCCACCCTGAGCTTGTTTTGCTTTGCTTGCTATGCTGATTACACCCCACTTTGGCTATGGGGGTGTGTCAGAATGTTATGTTTTGTCTAGCCTGCAGTGGGGTACTCAATAGTGAGTACAGCCCAATTTAGGGTTTGCTATATGTACTCAACTGCTTGCTAGTGAAACCTCTCTCTTTCTTCTTTCTAAACTTCCTTTGCTTTCTAACAATATGTATTCCTGCATGCTTGTTCTTGTAGGTAGATATCACTGTACTGTTGTTGTTACATATATATCTCTGCATGTGAACTGGCCTTGTGGCCTTCTTGCTTGTGCTCAGACTGCGTGGTGACGTTGTGATCCACCCTGAGCTTGCTTTGCACTTCCTGACTGGTCTTGTGACCCTCTGTTCTCCCCCACTCTGCCTATGGGGGTGTGTCAAACATATATATATATGTTATAGTTTGGGTAGGCTTAGTGGGGTACACACTGTGGGGTACAACCCCTTAGTTTTTCTTCTTTGTATCAACCCTCTCGATAGTCGACATCACTTTTCCCTATGATTCTAACAACAGCTGTTGAGAATTACATGTTTTATTTGAAAAAAAAAGAACCATAAACGCCTTGTCGCAATGAGTTTAGGGTTGATGCCCTCAAATTCATTTGCCATCTGAAAGGGTTATAGATTTCGTTTGCCCCGGCTGCACGATAGAATGAAGTACAAACAGTTTGCGGAAAGAGTGCCAGAATATCAGTTTTGTATTAACAGTTGTTTTCACAACACTTACGTTTTGCAATTAGCTTGAAAATCGGAAAGTGTGTCAGGATTTCGGAAAGTGTGTCAGAATTTCGGAAAATTGTGTCAGAATTTCGGAGAGTGTGTCAGAGATTTCTGCTTCAAGATTCGTCAATTTAGTCTGACGCGAGCGGGAAAAACCAGAATCAGGGTCATTTTGGGCGAGGGTTTCTTCTAGTTACCATTCGCGTGATGGGCTGCTAGTGTATAGTTACCATACGCGTTAAGCGAGTTACCAAACGTGTTAAGCGAGTTACCAAACGCGTTAAGCGAGTTACCAAACGCGTTGAAATCGTTACCGTACGCGTTATAGTTCCCCATGTAAGTTAACATTGACATATTTTCCCAAAATGAATTGGCTTGGCGCTGTTCAAGAGGTGGCTTTCGGGGTCACGAAGCCCGAGGGTGTACCATACAGAAGCTCGAGGTGGAAGGAAACAGAAGCGACGGTATTCAGCAGGATGAGTGGGTTTGAAGCGGTGAAGCGGATATACCGCTTTTAACTGTACATCATCGTACTCGACCGTTTCAACCAAACACAAGCTCAACCCCTCTGACACGCTCGTTCTGGGGATCGTTTCACAGCTTGACAGCATGCGATTGTTTTCACGATCCATGTCATGCCATGCCAGCAAACAAGCATCGATGATCTCAAGGGTTTGCCTGCAGACTAGTTTCTGTATGAAAAGCCATACTACCTTACGTTAACTAGCGCGATGCGATTCGTGTACATAGTCCTTACGCCGCAGACAGATACTCAATGAGCTCCCCTAACCCATGAGCCACATGATACTCTTCCGCTGTTCGAGCAACGTTTAGGGGTGCAGCAAGTTGGGGGTAGGACGGCACAGGGGGAGGAGCAAGGCCGAGACGAGTGGGGAGAGGAGCAAGGTAGGGGTAGGAGAGACGGTAGACGCGTGGGAGGAGGAGAGGCGGTGGGCCGTGAGATGGACGAGGTGGTGCCGAGAGGCGTCAAGCGCGCCCACTCCGACTCCCGCGACGCTCGCGGCGACCGGCAGCCTGGCCCGTGCGACACTGCGTCGCTCGCCACAGCTTCTGCGACGGGTAGCTACATGCCGAATGGCGACGTCGCTAGCGGTCTAACGATTCTCTCTCCGAGCGAGCAGCCGCTAGCGTCGTCGTCGCTAGCAGTAGCGCAGCCGATAGCGTTTGGTTCCATTGCAGGCATGGCGGCGGGCTCGAGCGCGTCAGGGAGTGCAGTGAGCGCGGGTCATGACGGCCGGATGAAGCGACGCAGAGGCACCTTTGAAACGCCTCTTGACACCGCAGCGGTAGGCGCATGCTGTGGGGTTCGGCAAGCTGGTCGCGCGGGTGCGAATCTCGGCGTCAGCAGCGGCAGTGGCGAAGGCTCGGCAGCAGCTGGTGCAAGCCGCGAGGAGCGCTCTCGTCTGGCAGCGCACGCAGGTGGCTCCGGCGGTCATGCCACGGGCGCCGCTGCAGAGTCGGGTTCAGCCGTCGCGGCTGTTGCTGCCGCGGGTGCTTCCCCCCGCCCTGCCATCGCGCTGGCGGCTGCTGCTGTTGCACACGCCGCTGGGTCGACGGATGAGGCTGCTGGGGTTGCTGGTAGTGGTGCTACTGCTGGCTCCGCTGGTGCTCCCCTCCCTGCTGCTGCTGCTGCTTCTAGTGGTGGTGGTGGTGGTGCGGGTGATATTCCCACAGCTGCTGCTGGTACGGGTGCAGTGGGGCGGGGTGCGGCCTGCGCGCATGAAGGTGCGGCTGTCCCCTGTGCTGAAACGGCTGTCCGCGCCGGCCCTAGTACCGCTCGCCATGCTGCCGAACCTGCTCTCCCTGCTGCACCCGCTGCCGCTTCTGCAGGAGCGGCTGTGGCTGGCGCCGCAAGCAGGGCTGCTCACGTGCAGAGCAGCAGCGGCGCGGAGCAAGGGAGTGCAGCGCACGAGCGTGCAGAGGGGAGCGCAGCGCAAGGAGGTGCCAGTGCAGTAGCGGAGGGAGCAGAGGGGAGCGCAGGGGAAGGGAGTGGGGGAGCGGGTGGGGACGAGGAGGTGGCGCGGGCGGCACAGCTGGCGGAGGATGAGCGGCTGGCGAGGGAGCTGCAGCGCGCGTTCGAGGAGGAGAGCAGCATCCCGTTCGTGAGTGCGCCGCATGCATGTCACGTCATTCATGTCACGTCATCTCATGTTACGTCATGTCATGTCATGTCGCATGACTGCGCTGATGTCTGCATGCATTCTAAGTCTGTGCTGAATGCGTTGTGCTTGGGCATGAGCGCTGTTGCTGGCCTGTCCCTCGCGGCGTGTGCTCTCTGCGGCACCAGGCGTGGCGTGGCAGCACCATTCCCAGTGCACCCCTGCCTCTTCCCCCCTTCCAAAGTGGCCATTGCCATTCCCACCCACCCTAATCCTCCTGCCACACCACAATCCACACCCCTGCCGCACTCCTGCTGCTCACCCCTGCCTCAATTCGCGCTGCTCTCCTCTGCCCCCCACCCCCCGGTGTGTGCTGTGCTCTCCGCTCCACCCCTCCCCACCCCCCAGGGGCGGGGGCTGGCAACTGACTACCAGCTGGCGATGCTGCTGCAGGCGGAGGAGACGCAGCACCTGCGCAGCCGCGTGCTCCGCTCCTCCCACGCCCCTCGTGGCCCCGCCCGGCCAGCACCTCGCCAGCACACCCGCCCGGATACACGGCAGGGCGTGGTGCAGGGCGCAGGGCAGGGCGAGGGGCAAGACGCGAGGCAGCAAGCAGGCGGGCACAGCGGACAGCACTCGGGCGAGCGCGCCTCCCTTGCGCCCTCTCGCCCCTCTGCTCCGTCTGCCCCCTCTGGCCCCTCTGCTCCGTCTGCCCCCTCTGGCCCCTCTGCTCCGTCTGCCCCCTCTGGCCCCTCTGCTCCGTCTGCCCCCTCTGGCCCCTCTGCTCCGTCTGCCCCCTCTGGCCCCTCTGCTCCCTCTGCTCCGTGCATGCTTGCTGGGCAGTCGGACGGGGCTGCTCGCGCTGCCAGTGCGTTGGCAGGGAGGGGCGGGGGAGGGGGTGAGGATGGTGACTTTGAGCAGAGGAGGGCAGAGCAGAGAAGAATAGGGGAAGGGGGGAGGGATATGGCGGGGAGTGAGGAGGTGGGAACAGCAGGGGGTGATTCTGCATGGGCTGCTGGCGGTGGTGATGCTGGTGTCAACAGTGGCACTGGCCGCAGCACTAGTGGCAGCACTGGTGGCGGCACTGCTGGTGGTATTGCAGGAGCACGCAACCCCCCCGTGGCTGCAGTGCCACCTGCACCTGTGAGGCCACTGGAAGCTGCCCGTTTGGCTCGGCCCAGCATGGCAGCACCTGCAGAACGCGCCACGTCAGCATCAGCAGGCCGTGCCACGTCAGCACCGAGGAGCTACGGGCGGTGGTTGAGGAGAGAGGCGATGGCAGAGACAGTGGCGGCAGCAGCAGCACTGCGAAGTCAGCAGCAGCGAGCAGGGGGATTCGGGGCAGGTGGAGGTGGCACGGGCATAAGTGCGTGGGAGATGCAGCAGGAGGTGCAAGAGGCGGCTGAGTTCAGAGCGCTGCTGCGTGTCGATGGCGTCCTGCCGGTCCGTGCTCTGCCCTCCCTCCCTCCCTCCCTCCCACCCTCCCTCCCTCCCTCCCTCCCTCCCTCCCTCCCTCCCTGCCTGCCTGCCTGCTGCACCCGTGCTCCCTCTCGCCCCTCATGCCCGATGCAATGTGATGAAGGCCGTCATCATGCTTGAGATGAAGGAATGTCAAGTTATGATTATGATGAAGGAATGTCAAGTTATGATTATGATGAAGGAATGTCAAGTTATGATTATGATGAAGGAATGTCAAGTTATGATTATGATGAAGGAATGTCAAGTTATGATTATGATGAAGGACAGATCGGTTTACATAGGAGAGAAAACGGTGGGGAAAACGGTGCCACCCAATGATGTGTGTGGTCGACCGACAGAAATGGAGGGGGCTCAATAATTGGTTGGATTATCCAATCCAACGATTATTTGGGAGCCCCCATCGCATGCAGTCAAAACGGTTGGGGTGCGCTTTTCCAAACTTGGTTGGGGCGCCTCGGCCCAAAGTGTACACCCGCATTGTGTGTAGCACTCACACAATAATAAACTAACATACGCTAGATTCTAACAATAGAACCATGATGAAATGTGCACCATGTGCTGTGCGCATCGTGCCTTGCTCTCACTGCTGCGTTCTTTCTGTCTCTCCATCCCTGCGTGCGCACCTGTCCTTCCATCCCTCGCATCCCTTGCATCCCTCCATCCCTCGCATCCTTCCATTCCTCCCATCCCTCGCATCCCTCACATCCCTCGCATCCTTCCATCCCTCACATCCCTCGCATCCCTCTGCAGAGACAATCTGGTCGGCGCCTGCAGCCTTTGAGGGCGCAGTCTGCTGCAGCTGCACGAGAAGCTCCGGAACAACAACAAGCACCTGATCAAGCACCTGAACAAGCACCTGATCAGACACCTGAACAAGCACCTGATCAAGCACCTGAAGAAATACCAGGGCACGCACCTGAACAAACGCCCGAGGAGGGGAGACATCATGTTCCAGTTGCGGGGGCAGCTGCAACGATAAACGGAGGTGTGGCAACAGACGGAGGGGAGGCACACTGGGGGGCGGGGGTGAGAGAGGAAGAGGAAGAAGAAGAGGAGGAAGAGGAGGAGGAGGAGGAGGAGGAGGATGAGGAAGTGGATGAGGAGATCGAAATGGTGGAGCTTGATGGCTCAAGGCTGGACCTGGGGTTGCTGGAAAGTGGCACAGACGAGGAAGTTTATATGGAGGATATGGATGGGGAGCATGAAGGGCATGAGGGGCATGAGGGCCATGAGGTGGATGACGATGCGCTGAACGAGGTGGACGAGGCATTTGAGTTTGATGTGGCCGTGGGGGGGGACGATGCACCCCGCCTGGATCACATGCCACCTCCTGGGGGCGTGCCTGGCGGCGAGGGCGCACTGCCTGTGGGGGAGCATGGGTGGCATGTAGGGCAAGAGGGGGTGCAGCGTAGGGGTGGGGTGCCGTGGTTCCCTGGGAGGCTTGTGGAGGAGGCGGAGCAGTGGCAGGCGCGCGTGGCACGGCGCTGGGGACAAGCAGGGGGCGCGGCTGGGGCTGACGAGCAGTCAATGGGGGTTGGTGAAGATAGAGGGGGAGGAGAGGGCGCTGGGGTGCTGGGGATGGGGGCTGTGAGTCTGGGGGTGTGGCACGAGGCAGCAGAGGCAGCAGAAGCAGCAGAGGCAGCAGAGGCAGAGGCAGGCATGCTCTCTCCACTGCCAGAGCATGCTGCTGCTGCCCCTGCCTCGCCCTCCCTTCGCAACCTCCCCTCCTCCCCGGCCTCTCCCTCCCTCGGCAACCTCCCTTCCTCCCCTGCCTCTCCCTCCTTCCGCAACTTCCCCTCCCCTCCACACTCGCCCCCCACGCACGGCCCGCTGCAGCATGGGAGGGCCGGGCTGCATGCAGCACCCCACACTCATGCCGTGGGCGCCGGCGGGCGCGAGAGGAGGCACGGCGAGGGGGGTGCCATGGATGCTGCTGGTGGTGCTGGTGGTGGTGGAGGGGGGGCCACAGGTGCCAGCAGTGCATTCTCCTTCGGCACGCCTGCTGAGTCCACCGCCTCTGTGCGCATGTGCAGGAGGGGGTTTGTGCGTGCATCTCAACTGCACGCCACCCCGGCCCTCACCACACGCCATTCCTCTCCACCTCCTCCCGCTGCTGCTCCTCCTGCTCCTCCCCCTGCTGATTCCCCTTCGACTGCTCGAGCTCAGCCTCACCCCCCTGGTCGGCCTGCCACCACGGCCTCGCCCCACGCGGCGCTGCCACTGCCGACGGACTCCCCCTGGGCGCTGGGCATGCGCGCCCGTGTGGGCGAGGGGCGCCTGCCCGCCCGCACACGTGCCAGGTATGCAGCGGGACCGGGATGACACGGGGGCGCAAGGATGGATGGCCAAGGATGGCCAAGGATGGCGAAGGATGGCCAAGGATGGCCAAGGATGGCCAAGGATGGCCAAGGATGGCCAAGGATGGCCAAGGATGGGCAAGGATTCACCCTCTTTCCTGACTTGCTCTCTCCTTTTTCTCGTCTCGCTCGTGTCTATCTCTTCTCTCCTCCTCACTCCTCTGCCGTCATCCGCATCTCTCTCTTCTGTTTCTCCCCCCATGTCCGCCACATCACGCACCGTTCTCCACTCTCCCCCAGAGTGCCACTGCGCCCCTCATCGCGCTCGGCTGCCATGACAGCAGGCGGCGATTCAGGCGGCAACTCGGGCAGTGTGGGAAGCACCACGCCTGCCGCCCTTGCCCCTGCCGCCATCCTGCCTGCCTCCACAGTGACGCCCCCCCCTGCTGCCACTCTGCTCTCACCCCATGCTATCACACCGCATACCATCACACTGCCCATGGTTCCTGGCGAGGCCGAAGCAGCAGGGGGGGGTGGCTTGGGGCAGCGTTGGGAGCAGGGAGCGCGAGTGGCTGCCCTTCACACGGCGGCGCTGCAGCACGGTGGGGGGGGTGGAGCACCCTTTGCAGCAGCAGGCGCGGCAGGAGGCGCAGCAGAAGCAGCGCTTGCAGCAGATGGAGCAGCAGTTGCTGGCAGTGCGGTAGGAGTAGGTGAAGAGGGGCTGAGAGGTGAAGGGGGGTTAAGAGGCGAAGGGGGGGTGGAGCAAGATGTGTTTCGAGAGGATGAGAGGGCCACACACAGGGGGGATGTGGAGGGCATGCGTGGCAGGGCGGAGGAGGGAGGCGCTCGCACTGGAGATGAGGCTTATGGGGGGAATGGGGGCCGAGGGGATGGGGGGGGCAGGGTGGGTGGCAGGGTGAGCGGCAGTGGGGGGCCGAGAGCGGAGGGTGGGGGGGGCAGTGCGGAGATGGCGGAATCAGATGGCAGCAGCGCTCCCCCCGTGCGTACCGGGTCTCGGGCACCCCACGGCAGGTCCCGGCACGGACGGCCATGGCGGGGCGAGGCACGGCACGGGGGAGCAGCGCAAGGCAGGGAGGAGGGTGCAGCGATGCTGAGGAGGATGCTGAGGGAGAGCAGGGCGCGTAGCGGCAGGGCGAGTGGAGAGTGGCGGGAAGCAGCGGCCGGCAGCAGTGATGCAGTGACGGGTGGCAGGCGACTGGTGGGTGGGGCTGGTGGTGGCGAGCGTGGGTGGGGAGTGGGAGGGGAGGGCCGTGGGCATGAGACGGATGAGCAGGGCAGGCCTGGTGCTGTGGGGAGTGGCGGGGACGGGCAGGGGAGAGAGTGCACTGCTGCACTGCCCTCCCACCCCGTGCCTCCCCTGCTGTCGCGCGCCCCGCCTTCTGATGCCCTGCCCCCCATGGGTGCTCAGCCCCTGCTGCTGCCGTCCTTTGCCGCCCACCACAGAGTGCCGCGTGCCTGGCGCCCTGCTGGCACTGGCAGGTATGGTGGCACGGGCGCCGGCGGCGAGGGTGGCCGGGGGAATGGCGAGGAGGGAGGGGAGAGCGGAGAGGGTGGGGAGACTGGGTTCTTGTTTCAAACGGGGCGTCGGTTTGAAAGGGAGGGTGCCGCACCAGGTACCGCTGCTGGAGTTGCTGATGGTGCTGGGATGCGTGGGGAGGCAGGTGAGGGAATGAACAGAAGCGAGGGAATCACGAATGCCAATGCTGTAGCCTCTGGTGCAGCCCATGTTGTGAGTCGACCTCCTCACTATGCTGTCCCAGCCGCCATGGGCCATGCCACAGCGACAGACGCCCATGCCATGCCACCCCATGCCCCCCCTGCTGCAGCACCACCCCATGCCCCCCCTGCTGCAGCAGCACCACATGACCCCTCCCCCTCAGCCCCGCCTGCCACGACCGACCTGCCTCTCGCCCCGCACTGGAGCCCCCTCCTCCTGCCCTCTGCGCTCTCCCCCCCCGTGCCTCCTCAGGCAGGCTGGCAGGTGCCGCGCAGCAGGGCGTTGGGGGGTAGACAGGGGGGGGAGTCAGGGGGGCTGGACGCGTGGAGGGAGCGGAGGAGGGGCATGGGCATGGGCATGGGCGCGGGGGATGGGGGCGAGCGGAGGAGGTGGCGCGAGTGGGCGAGTGTGCGGGGGATGGGTGGAACAGGCACGGCAGGGGCTGCAGACGAGTCCAGTGGGGAGGTGGCAGGAGGGGCGGAGGAGATGGGGGCTGCATGGGTGGGGGTTGCAAGGCCAATGGGAGGGCAGGGGCCAGTGGGAGGGGAGGGTGAGGGGAGACAAGGCGAGTCAGCTGAGCAAGCGGTTGAGTGGGAAGCGGTTGAGTGGGAAGCGGTGCGACCGGTGGGTTCCTTGGATGAGCCGATGAGTGAGGCAGCAAGAGCAGCAGCTGAAGGAGACACAGCAAACGCAGCAGACACAGCGGGTGCAGGAAATGCAGCAGATGCAGCAGATGTCCACCCTGCCCTGGCCTCTGCTGCGCTCTCTGCCACTCACCGCTCCGCAGCAGCAGCAGCAGCATCAGCAGCAGCGGCAGCGGCAGCCAGCGATACAACAGTAGGTGTAGCCATCACGGAAGGAGCAGCAGCAACAGCAGCAGGAGGCAGCACAGCAGCAGCACGTGGAGTGGCACAGGAGGAGGCGAGGGAGAGGCGGCGGCGGCTGCAGCGGCTGGTGGAGGAGCGCGTTCGGGTGGCCCGCCACGTTGTGGAGGCTCGGGCACACGCCGCCCAGCAGCTCGTGGAGGCTCGGGCGCAGCAGGAACGGGAAGCGGTGGATCGGCGGGCACGGGAGGCTCGGGAAGCTCTGGAGCGGCGGCTGAGGGAGGCTCGGGAGGCGGTGGAGCGGCGAGCAAGGCAGGCGGTGGAGAGGGTGGTTGGGGAAACAGGGCTTGAGCCCGGGGCATCTGAAGGCGGTCGTGGGGCTGCTAATAACGAGGACAGGGAAGAGGACGGTGGCTCTGCGCTGGCGAGTGTTGTGGCGGCTGTGGGGGACGCTGTGAGGGAGGCTGCAGCTGCTGAAGGTGCAGGTGGGGCGCGGAGAGGGGCGTGGGTGGAGGCGGGGAGAGGGGAGACGGTGGAGGAGAGGCGGGCGCGGCTGCAGCAGCGGTTCTCAGCGCTCACCCGCCTCATGCTGCGCGACCACGCTGCCACCCGCCACGTGCTCCGTGCCCCTGCTGGGGGGAACGAGCCTGCTGCTGCGGATGATGCCGGGGATGATGTGCGAGCAGCGGGGTCAGCTGCTGCTGCTCATGGCGATGGTGATGCCGCTGCTGCTGCTCGTGCGGAGGTTGGAGTGGGAGGGGAGGGTGCGGCCAGCAGGAGGGGAGGGGAGGCGGAGAGGAGGCGGCAAGTGATGGGGGCGTGGAGGCGGGACAGGGCGGGCAGCTCCTTCCGCTCTGCTGCTGAAATGATCTCCCACGTGCGCCCTTGCCCTTGCCCCCTCACCCTTGCCCCCTCACCCTTGCCCCCTCACCCTTGCCCCCTCACCCTCGCCCTCGCACTTGCACTCGCCCTCACCCTCACCCCCGCCCTGTCCTTGCCCTCTCCTCCTTTCACCTCTCAACTCAAACCGTCCCCTCTCACGAAATTTCCCCCTATGATGCTGCTTTTTCTTAGACCCCTCTCCCCCCTCACGCACATCCACGTATTGTGAGAGGCCCTTCCCCATGCATCGCGTATTATGCTGCCACGCTGTTCATTACCCCATGGCCTTCCTTCTTCTCCAAACACCATACCTCGTTGCTTCACATGTTCCCTTCTCCCCCTCACTTCCCTGGCCTTTTTGTCTTCTGCCCGCCTGCTCACTCATCAGTCCGCCCTTCTCTGTGCACACATCCCTCCTCCCCCCCCCCCCATCAGCGCCTGGCGGTGTGGCAGGCGTTGGAGGCGGGCATGGGGGGGGTGGACGCCGCCTTCCATCGCATCGCCCCCTTCCCCCGCCCGCCCCTCGCGCGCAACTTCCCCCTCGCCTTCCGCCTCGCCGCCATCGACCGCGACTTCAATGAGTGTGTCCCTGCCCCGCCCCCCCTCCCCATCCCCATGCGCTCTGCTGTGCTTTTGCTCTGGCTGAGCCTCCTGGTCCTCTAGCTCTTGATTGGTCACGGCTTGCTCCCACTGCTGGCAGTGCTTTGCTTTGTGCCAACGGCAACCTTGTGATTACTTCAACCACGTTCCCTCGTCAAACCATTCAGTCCAACCGCCACTGCCATCCATTGTGTGGTTACAACTCCCTCTGTCCAATGCTTGCCACACACATCCCGTCACACACTCCCTGTCCTTCCTTCTCTAAACCCTGCTCTTCTCCCCATGCCACTTGGTTCTGTTGCGCAAGGAGCCCAGGTTGGTCAAGAACCTGCTCACAGTTCTCGAAACCTGGTCCACCTGGTTCTGTTCCGTGCGGAGCACTAAGCCATGCTGCTGGCTTTGGACGACATCTCCCCATTCCGGCCCACAGCCATGCTTTGCCCTTCCTTGTGTGACCTGCTCTCCTCCCCCCATGGTGCACGGGGTGCAGGTCGGACTACGAGATGCTGCTGGCGCTGGATGACATCTCTGCGCCCGTCGTGCGACCCGGCGCCACCCCCGACGATATCAGCCGCCTGCCCACCGCCCTCGTCACGGTCGGTACCTGCTCTGTTTTCCTCGTCACGGTCGGTACCTGCTCTGTTTTCCTCGTCACGGTCGGTACCTGCTCTGTTTTTCTCGTCACGGTCGGTACCTGCTCTGTTTTCCTCGTCACGGTCGGTACCTGCTCTATTTTCCTCGTCACGGTCGGTACCTGCTCTGTTTTCCTCGTCATGGTCGGTACCTGCTCTGTTTTCCTGTCCTCTCACTATCCGCTCTGCTCTCCTGCACTGCTTGCTGCGCATTGCAACAGCCCCTTGCTCTTCAATTCCAAAAAAGTATTCTGAGGTGCCTCAGAAGAAATGTATGTGCTGGCTGCACGCACTGCTCACTGCTCTGACCTCGTGTACAAGCATCGCAGTCACTGGCCCCTCTCCGCTTGGTTGGCACACTGATGTGCAGCCTGAAGTGGCTGACTCGGATCAGGTCCCATGTCGCATCACTGGTGGCCCGGCCCTTGCCATGCTTGTTGACTTGTACCCCCTTCCAGCCACACCACAGCAACGGGGGCTAGCAGCATCGTGATGTGGACTGCTTATGAGAATCCTCAGAGGCAACTCTATCTCTCCCCTCATGCCATGTATCCATCGCCCATCCGCCCCCTGCCAGGCACAGGACAGCGATCTGGACCCGTGTGCCATCTGCATTGAGGTGCCCTCACCACCTGAAGTCATCCGCCGCCTGCCCTGCACCCACACCTTCCACCGCGATGTGAGTCAACCAAAGTCGACCCGCAGCAGTCAACCAGGGTCTCGTCCACCACAATGAGAGTCAACTAGTGCTCCTCAATTGACTGCTGCTGTCACTACGCTTCGCGTCTGTCGTAGTCGAATCTTGCAGCTGCTATGAGACAAGACAACTGTTTGTTTGCAATGCTCACCTTTACATCCACAACCGCTGCATGACCGCTTGACCATGATGTTCTGTTCATTTATCTCGTCTTCTGAACTCAGCTCCGCAAGTTTGCATGTGGCTTTTCTCCTTTCTCTCAAGTGCCATCGCTGTTGAGTCCATCCTGTTCGCAACACCTTTCTCATCATCAGCAGGCCTTTCCTCCGCCACCCTTTCTCCTTACTTTGGTTGCCGCCCCTCCCTACTCCCGGCAGTGCATTGACGAGTGGTTGAGGCGCCGCGCAGTGTGCCCCATCTGCAAGCGAGACATGCGGGGCACGGAGCAGTGAAGGTGCTGCAGTTGCACCCGTGAATTGCACCCGTGAATTGCAGCACTGCAGAGGAAATGTGATGGTGAAACCACGGGATATCTACACACTTGATGCAAGATTTTTGTGGCACAACAATGCATACCGTATGTCTGTCCATCTCCCTGCTAAGCTATGTACAGGTGATTCATTCATTTTCCATCCACCAGCACTATTGGTTGCTCCCTTCGCTTCCATGCGTATCGTAACACAGTGCATACCAGTTCATGCTATGTGTTAGGAGTGCAATGAAATGTGCAAATGAGTTCGAGCTGCTGAAGAAAAACCCGCAAATTTGGATAGACCGTAATGCCCTGGATAAAAGACCTGAGGGGGGGTATTATAAGAATTCCACCCACCCAAAAAATGGGGGGGGGGTGTTCTTAACAGCTGGCTATATTTTATAAGACCTGGGTCTTATCATAAGGTCAAGTATATTAGTTGTGTTTTGGAAGTCAGATAGACATGTCAACAGCATGTGCTCCGTTTTTAGCATACAAAAGAAATACGCGGAATGAACTCCGTGTTTAGCATTCAAAAGAAATACGCGGAATGGACAGGATGATGAGTAGATGTGATTTTGAGCCTGGCGGTTACCCCTCGTTAATAACACGTTATGGGATTTGGTGTAGAAAAGGGTATAAAAACTGTTGATATAACAGGGAATCGTAGTGGATTAGGATAAGAATTGCTAAATTGTAAAGAAGACAATGAAGCCTTGAAGTGACCTTGTTAAGAATGGTTGAAAGAGAACTGGGTAATTTTAAGATAGAAGTACAAGGATATAAATAGCAATCCAGCTAGCCATGTACTCTGAGGGGTACATTCCCTTATTAACTGTATTGCATTCAGGCCCCTAGATTTCAGCCTTTTTACGTTGATTCGGCCATTTTTTTTCTGTACCAAGGCTGATTTGTCAGGCTTTTCCCTAAAAAAACTTGGTGATTTTCTAGTGGCTCTAAATGAAAAATGGCATTTTTGGCTGATTTTCAGCATAAATTTGCGAGTGAACTCTGATTTTCAGCCTACCCCAAAACCAATCTAGGGGCCTGATTGCATTGCTACGGTAACAGGGCTCTTGCTAGGATTTAGGCCCGTCTGATTTTTTTTTTTTTTTTTTTTGAAAAGGTTTCGTCTGACGTTCAGATGGGCAATTTTTTTTTTTGTCTGATTTGTCAGACGGATGTTGAGGCCATGTCTGAATTTTCAGACGAGTTTATTTTCACAGTCTGATTTAGCCAAATACACAGTATAGCATAAGTTGAATATGATTATACGAAGTATAAATACGCCGCTGGCAGCGGCGCTGGCAACACGCTAGCAGACATGTGTGGCAGTTGGGCGGCAAGGGGGGTGCAGGGGTTGGGCTGCGAGGGGCATGTACAGAGACAGTGGTCCGTGTCTTTTTGTCAAAATCTAGAAGGAAGGAATGATTGAACTAGCAAGCAGGTGGGTACAAGTAGGAAACCTAAAAGTGTTGTACCCTATATGAACTACCCCACTACAGCTTAGACAGACTATAGCATATAAGTTTGACACACCCCCATAGGCAAAGTGGGGGAGAACAAGAGGTCACAAGACCGGTCAAGAAAGGCAAAGCAAGCTCAGGGTGGATCACGACATCACCACACATTCTGAGCACAAGCAAATGGCCACAAGGCCAGTTCACATGCAGAGTTATATAAAGGAGAACAAGCAGTACAGTGAACACAACCTAGTAAGTGTAAGCATGCAGGTATATGTATAGAGATCACAGTACAAGCAAAGTCAAGGAGTGAGCAAGTGAGTCCAAGTAGGCACAAGACCTAGCATAGTACGAAAGCGCTGATGATCACAAGGCTGAAGTGCCTTGGTAAAGATATCCGCAGTGTTGGCCCGAGTGGCCACGTAAGCAAGACGAAGCTGACCACGCTGCTGCAACTCTCGAGCAAGGAAGTAGCGCAGAGCGATGTGCTTCGTTCTGTGCTCCAGTCTGTGCTCCTGACACAAGGCCATCATGGCGTTGTTGTCGACGTACAGAACTGGAGCAGAACGAGGCGCCTCTCCCAAGTCGGTCAGCAGGTAGGTAAGCCAGCGTAACTCCTGTGCAGCCATGGCCACAGCGTAGATCTCAGCCTCACAACTGGAGTTGAGAACAGAAGACGAGCGGGTAGACCGCCAAGAGACAGAGCCGGAACCAAGGCTGAAGGTGTAACCCTGTGACGACCGCTGCGTAGCCAAGTCGTCAACCCAAGAAGCGTCTGCGTGACTAGTGAGGACAACTCGAGCCCGTCCTCCAAGCACGAGCCCCATGCCCGACGTACTGCACAAGTAGCGCAACACCCTCTTAGCTGCATCCATGTGCTCCTTCCTGTGTCTGCCAGGAGCGACATAGCGTGCTAGAATGCTAAGAGGGTAGGCAAGGTCAGGACGAGTGCAGGTCATCAGGTACATGAGGCAGCCCACAAGCACTAGATATGGGCCACTCGGCTCTACGGACTCGTCCGAAGGTGGAGCTGAGAGCGAGTGACTGGTAGGCAGAGGAGTGGACTGTGGCGAGGAGTACGTGAAGCCGAAGCGCTGAAGGACCTGCTGCACCATGTGTGACTGAGTCAAAGTAATGGTGCGCTGTGCTCTGTCCCGGGTGATCCGCAAGCCAAGATAGCTTGTCAGCTCACCCAGGTCTATGCACGTGTGTCTCTTCTGCAGCTCCGACTTCACGTGGGCGAGTGCCTCAGTGTCAGCAGTAGCAAAGACTAAGTCGTCTACGTACACGAGGACGTAGAACGGCGGCAGGGTGGTGTCGGTGCGTAGAAACAGCGACGGGTCAGCAGTGGAAGGAGCAAAACCAAGAGCAGCAAGAGTCGTCCTCAGTGTGTCGTGCCGCTCATGAGGTGCCTGGCGGAGACCATAGACTGGCCGTCGGAGGCTCCACTGGGTACCTGGAGGAAACGACCCAGTGAATCCAGGTGGGCGGCGCAGCCGGATCTCCTCGTGTAGGCTGCCCTGTAGGAAGGTTGTGCTGAAGTCAAGAGAGTGTAGCTCGTAGTCACGCTGAGCGGCGACGTGCTGCAGCACCCGAAGAGTGGTCATCTTTGGGGTAGGGGAGAAGGTCTGGAAGAAGTCAACTGCCTGTCGATGACTGAAGCCTCGTGCAACGTAACGCGCCTTGAAGACACGCGGAGAACCTGGTGGCCGCTTCATCCTGAAAATCCACATGCCACTGACGATGTTCGCCCCAGGCGGGGGAACCTCGTCGACGTAGGTGCCTGTGGACTTCCAGGAAGCCATCTCGGCATCCATAGCTGCTTGCCACTGAGAGGAGTAGGGACCCTCTATTGCCTCTGCGTAAGAGCACGGGGTCGGGATGTCTGGTGCATCCGGGTCTCCCTCAGGGGTAAGCAGCATGGACATGAGATGAGGTAAAGAAGCGGCAAAGCACTCAAACTCCTCCTGTCTGTCCTCAAGGACGTCCGTGCCAAGAGCACACTCACCCCCGATGGACGGAGGACAGACAGACAGAGACTCACACTCAGAAAACAGACTAGTGGCGTGGTCTAAACGACAGGCGGCAGCAAAGTCAACAAGCTCAGCAACTAGAGCAGACGCAGTTGTGGACTCAAACGAAGGGTCAGTGACAGCAGTGGCCAAAAAACGCGTGACAGTAGGACTAGCAGCACGAAGGGAGTCAGACTCCGGGTCCCGACCGTCAGGAAGAGAGGACGCACGAGGAGACGGCAGAGGGACACCCTGTGGAGCAGTGGAAGGACGCAGAGTCATAGAGTGTGTGCCAGGGACAGGAGGAGGACGCTGACGCGGAACACGACGACCAGTGCGAACAGCGCAAACAGGCGACTCAGGACGAGACTCAGGTGACGCAGGACGAGACTCAGGCGACGCAGGACGAGACTCAGGTGACGCAGGACGAGACTCAGGTGACGCAGGACGAGACTCAGGCTCACGATGCTCCGTAAGACCTCTAGTCGGTCCAGAGTAAGGAAAAGGACCAGGCAGTGGAGAGGCAGGCTGTAACTCTGACTGGGACTGGACAGGCGGTGGACTCAATAAAGGAGGAGTAGGACCAGTAGAAGGCGGGAGACCAAGAACCTGCTGAAGGAGCGGAACGTAGTACATCCGCGGCCGCACAGCGCCTCCAGAAACAGCAGAGACAACACCAGTACCCTCATCTCCAGGGTCTCCAGCTAAAACTCCCGCAGCACCACCAGCTCCACTACCTCCAACAGCCCCAGCTCCAGCAGAACCTCCAGTAGCAACAGCTCCAGTACCTCCAACACCTCCAGCTTCAGCAACACCCACAGCACCAACTCGTGCAGCACCACCAGCCCCAGCAGCTCCAGTACCTCCAGTACAAGCACCTCCGGGACCAGCTACTCCAGCACCTCCAGCAGCCCCAACACCAGCAGGACCTCCAACAGCGCCAGTACCTCCAGCTCCAGGACCAGTGGTCCAAGCCAAGCCAGACATGTCCCCCTATCGGTCCAAGCCAAGCCAGACATGTCCCCTGATCGGTCCAAGCCAAGCCAGACATGTCCCCCTATCGGTCCAAGCCAAGCCAGACATGTCCCCTGATCGGTCCAAGCCAAGCCAGACATGTCCCCCCATCGGTCCCAGCCAAGCCAGACATGTCCCCCCATCGGTCCAAGCCAAGCCTAACATGTCCCCCAATCGGTCCAAGCCAAGCCAGACATGTCCCCCCATCGGTCCAAGCCAAGCCAGACATGTCCCCCCATTGGTCCAAGCCAAGCTAGACATGTCCCCTGATCGGTCCAAGCCAAGCCAGACATGTCCCCACATCGGTCCAAGCCAAGCCAAACATGTCCCCCCATCGGTCCAAGCCAAGCCAGACATGTCCCCCCATTGGTGCAAGCCACGCTAGACATGTCCCCCCATCGGTCCAAGCCAAGCCACACATGTCCCCCCATCGGTCCAAGCCACGCCTGACATGTACCCCCATCGGTCCCAGCCAAGCCAGACATGTCCCC